CTGACTGTCGGATCACGTGTTGTCAGGAACAGCATGTTGTAGCTCTATCTTGCATAATGATACTTCGTAACGAGTATGTTCTAACATTGAGGAAGTTGTTTGCTCGCCTATTCGCGAACACCTGGTGTCGTCGCTGTTTGATGCTCATGATCGTACAACCGACACTTATTTTTGGCAGATATTTTTTTTGTGAATATGGAAAGGGTTTGTCGCCTTCATTGTATTTAAACTAAACAGCTTATGTGGACACATGTAGAACAAGGTTGCCCTACCAATTAATGAGTGTTACGGGTAGCACATGTGGCCATTGATATTAACAAGGGTCGGGGAGAGGTTTAACTCCAAGGCTGTATATTGATATTTCATCAACAGGGTTGATATGACTGATATTCAAAGACATGAAAGAGGCAATGTGTCAAAAGAATATCCACTTAGTATGGACTAAAAAAGTTTATTCTTATTTTGATAAATTAGAATTTTCTGTTCTTGAAAGGGTGCATCGGAGTACACGACATCCCGAAACATTTCCCAGTAGAATTTGTTTTTTGTTGTTTAACGCCGCACTCAGCAATATTCAAACTATATGACGGGGGTCTGTAAATAATCAACCAGACAATCCAGTGATTGACATCATAAGCTTCGATATACGCAATAGGGATGGCTGACATGCATCAACCAAGTCAGCGCGCGAGATAGGTTGACTGAAATAATGAGAAGCGACTACCTAATATCATGTATATATTTTTGTGTTTGTACAAGATACAGATCGCAAAAAGACTTAGAGAGTAAGTTATAACTACCAGTGATTAGGAGCTCGAGCGGTATTGTCTTTGTCCTGGCATCACTTTTTAATTTGGCGTTATAAAAAAAATGTTTGCAAATCCAGATGGCATTGGAAAAAAATATTTGATACTCCACTAAACCGGGCAGTTAAGTATTGTCACTTTACGTCTACCATTGTATGGTCAGAATATCACTGTAGTCATTGTATCGATTGACCTTGACCAATATCTCCTTATTGTTGTCGCTTTTGATGCGTTTTATAACACATGCGTAGAGAAGCTATACAATTGCTAATCTCTACCAGGGGTAAAGGGTTGGACCTGAAATTATTTACATTCTTTATTCTCAAATCAACATTGCTCGTAGAAGAGTGAGTGAGTGAGTTGGGCTTAGCGCCGCTTTTAACAGTATCCCAGTTATATCACAGCGTGTCAGGTTAATGTGGGAGGAAAGGCCGACATGATGCAGGTCTCAGGCGTTTACCACTTCGGTTAAACCCTGAGCACGGGTATGGTGCTGACAAACCTAGAAAAATAATCGGGGCAAACATGGATTTGAACCCAATATCATAGGTTTATGGCGTGCCTAAGGAACGCAACTCTGCACAGCGAATCGCGGCGCCTTAGACGAATGGGCCCCCGTGCCCCCTCGTAGAAGACGGTACAAAAGGCGATCGCATGCTTGTACTCATATAAAGAATGAGTTATTAATTGTTGCTTTACGTCGCAGCAAGCAATATCCCAGCCACATCTATCTATCGAATTTGGGTCAGACAAGGAAGTTGTTTTGCTCGAGTAACGTTCCATACCATCACAGTCAAGATGCTCCGTTTAATCGGCTCTTGCGACTAGCGTGGAATGCACGGGACCTATATTGATATATTTACACCTGGATGAGGTTTTATCTGTGCCCTTGAACGAAATACTCGTGAGTTCTCGTTTATTCATAGGCGGCATTCGTATACTTATCACACTGTCGACATGCATGGCTGGAGGAAGGAAGTTTTTTCTCGTACAAAGCGAAAGCCATCACATGCAGCAAACATGACTAAAGGGCCTCTAGGAATAATGTATGCAGGCTCATGTGGACCCGGAAGATGTTTACTTGATAAAGGTATAACAAACGATAAAGGATATCAACGTCGCATATTCAATGTATCTTTATAATTTAACTGCAGTTTCGGGATGTTATGCCCAAAACTGAATGTGTACACTACCAAAATGGGATGGAAGAATATAGATGGATATTGATAATAAAAAAATGACAATATATGTTTATTTTTGTAAAATAACAGCCCTCCATATCATGCCTTTGGTGTCTGCAACAGGGATGAATAATGTCTCTATGCAATGAAAACAGAATAGATATCGTACAGGATTTACCCAGCCACGAGGAAATATATGTCAGAGGAAAGGTCTGCGTATATTGTGAACAGAATTGATAAGCACAAACGTTACACAGTGTTGTGAGTCTAAACTATTTCAGTCCGCATTAAAAACAACAGTAACGATTAAATTTAAATGATCCAATAATGACTATGGGTTACATCTTCTTGAACAACTGTTCATCGCTTCCTTGGTACGATAATATACTGACAACGTTTAAAAGGACAATTCTTTGTCATTGCAAGTTTGTTACAATGCATTCAGAAATTAATGATGGAAATTAATGAATGGATCACTCAAAATCAGTGATGCCACCAGGTGCTTGCGAAAAGTGTGAGCATGTCCTACTCTATCATCACTCACACAATTTACATAAAAATGTAAGTTTTTGTTTGTTGCTGATGCGGCACGCAGTATTACGCCTGACATGCGACAGCGGCCTGTGAACAATCGGGTATTGAGCTGATAATCCTGTGATCAGTCTCATGAGCAATAATCCACGTCATCACCAGCATTGACCGCTGATCAATTAAAGTAAGTTCCAGTGATTAAGGGGCTGGACAGGTAATTGTATTGCGCATCATGTTGACGAGAAGGTGTTATGTTTAGTAAATTCATCTGGATGTCCTCCATACAATGCTGTAATGACTTGACCAGGATATGCTTGTCGTAAAAGGCGACTATGCTTGTCGTAAGAGGCGACTAACAGGATCGGGTGGTCAGGCTCGCTGACTTGGTTGATGCATGTCATTTGATCCCAATTGCGTGGATCGATACTCATGATATTATTCACTGGATTGTCTGGTCCAGACTCGATTATTTACAGACCGCCGTCATATAGCTGGAATATTGCTGAGTGCGGCGTTAAACAACAAACCAACCAACCTACGACTTGACCAGGCCTTTGATGCCGACACCTTGATACAATGTTTCAGTTTGGCATAAGCACTGGTTACACCATCTGCACCTTCAACGAAAATGGACATCGGCGTATTTTCCCTTTATGTGTTTGGTGAAATGTTACCTTGTTGCAGGCCATATCAAGAATAAAAAACAAACAAAAAACAAGTCAGTTCTGACATGGAAGTAGGATTAGGCCAGTAGAGTAGATCCATTCATATGGATCGTTGAATCATTTGATCAGATGTTACAATCTAAAAAATATTGACTTCATGAACCTGGCAAATAATTCAAAGCCCTTCAAATGAAACAATCTGGTAAGACTGGATAACTGTGTTCAATAACACCCCACGGATGCATAAAGCGCACTTTCCCGTTATCTTATGTAATAGGAAATGTTAGCAGGTCAAAAACGCACTCTATTAAAATGCCACGCGAGAGAACGCCGAATTGAAAGTAGAATAGATCCATTCCACATTCATAGTTGATTCATTTCATCTGATTTTATTACGTAAAATAATATTGATCTGAACCTGGAAAATCATTCAACGTCCTTCTGAAAACTATTTGCTAAAACGGGATAAGTGACACCAAGGCATATATCCTGAATTAATTGAACAAACCTTGGCTGGTGTTACAGAAGGCCCCTAGTCGTTAAGATATTGGGTCTTATTAACAATGAAAATCCTTTTTCAGTAATCCAGCTAGTCCAAGTAGAATTATGCAGTATGCAGTCTTACCGTGTGTATAGAGTCTTACGAGTAATTGCATAGTGATGCCATTCTGTACTGTTTTGTCTAACGAGGTATTGCACAGTGATGCCATTCTGTACTGTTTTGTCTAACGAGGTAGTGCACAGTGATACAATTCTAGGTATTATACAGTGATGCCATTCTGTACTGTTTTGTCTAACGAGGTATTGCACAGTGATGCCATTCTGCACTTTTCTGTTTAACCAGGTATTATACAGTGATGCCATTCTGCACTCTTCTGTTTAACCAGGTATTATACAGTGATGCCATTCTGTACTGTTCTGTCTAACGAGGTATTGCACAGTGATGCCATTCTGCACTTTTCTGTTTAACCAGGTATTATACAGTGATGCCATTCTGAATGAAGAGAAGAGATGAATAAGTATCATGGGTTGAATCTAATGTTTTATTAGGTTGCCGAATTGAATTACCTATCACCAATAATCGCATTTAAGCAAATCACTCGTTTCGTTCGTCGTGATCTGAAAATGAATTCATTCATGGTGGAATCAGAATTATATACTCATTGGTAATAGCCATGTTATACACAGCAGGCTTTCAACTTTATGTTGTATAGTGTTGTCAACGTAAATAATGTAACAACATCTCGCCAACACGAATTGTGTGATCTAATCATAAAACAGGGATGTTCTCTTCATTTAGTCTGGAACAGTATATTATGTAGACGGAAAAAAACATCACCAGGAAGTACTTTCGTGACACTTCGTTAACACAAGCAAAATTAATTAATACTGACTTCCATATCTCCGAATATAACATATGACATATGTAGTTTGGACCACTTAGGCCAACTTTGCTGACCGTGTACAGTGTTACACGTTTGAAATCTTAGCTGAATCGTTCAACGAGCTTGTTCAGCTATTCTCAGGAACAGTCAACTGGATACCATAGACGTTATCTGGACGTTATCCCCCCTACACTCATATACAGACAGGCAAGTAGGGTTGAAAGGACTAAAAGCCTGTAGCTGTTCAACACCCGGCAATTTAGCCTTACCCATGCTTTGCGGCAGCTTGCATGGACACCGACCTCGGTAGGCGTTAAAGCTGTCCCTGAAAGCATAAAACTATAATTTACTCTGTGTACGTTTGTATATCCCAATACATGACCAAAGCCATCCCTTATATGGAGAGACACGTGAGCTATGAGATTTACTTCCTCGTTGTAGCTATACAAAAGCTGAAGCCCTCTCCCCGCGCAGCACTCGTTGACTGGATCAGGTGCATATAAACTTCGTGTGAAACATCGGGAGAGACGAAGGGACCCAAGTTACTGATGGTGCGCCCCAGAATGGTATGTTCATACAAACATTGTTACTTCTTTATTTTCCATTGCCATAGATAAATATATATGGCCATCATGTTTTAGACAAAGGGATGTCTATAGATACCTGTTTTCATACGTGGAGAAACAGATGATCATTTAACACTCGCTGTTGATATAACAGTTGGATATTCGTGATTTTCGTCTTATCCCAAAGCGCAAGTTGGATAAACATCAGTCACACTGATTTGCGGTTTTAGACACATTGACGAAGTTCTGCTACTCCCTGTAGTGAGAGTGTAATCGGAACATATTAATATATAATGTGCAGCAACAACGAAAATGTCCTCCTGACATTAGTCGTCTGTTACAAAAAAGAATTCTTGTATTTGGGATGTATTCCTTTACATACACATATTCAAAAGATACAGTTTATGAAAACTATTTGTAAATTTGTAAAGTATTCCCTTATTTCACAATTTCCCGTTCTTAATATGTGTCATTTAAAGTGATGAAATATTTGTATACTTTGTTCATTTTCTCCATGTTAATTGTTGCAACAGAACGGTCTATGTGCATGTAGATTAGACACAGGTACCAACTGAACTTAGCCTAAAGACGAAACTTGTTATGGTATTATGGAAACTGATGAAGGTGTAATGATAAATGTCTGTAAAATTGATTTCGGGCGAGTATATCAATATCTGGTGTTCCCACCATGTTGGACAAAACATGCACGACACCTTGATGGCAACTGACGTATGGTTGCTCTTGGTATTGCCATCCTCCATTATCCGGCGAAACAGAATCTATTTAGCGTAAAAGGCAAAATAGTGGTGAAAAGTATATGCATGGATCACTGACAATCAGCGATGACACCAGGTGTTCGCGAAAAGAAAAAACAAGCCCTGCCCTACCGGTAGCACCCACCACTCAATCTGCAAAAAGAATGTATATGTTTGTAGCATAACACCACACAGCAGTACTCCTGCCATGTGACGGTAAACAAATCAACAAGGAAGTATATTGCTGTTCTAAAGAATTAGTCAAGCTTATTGCACACTGGCTCTAGATATATGTGTTGCCTAGTTTGACACACAATATGATTATTATAAACGGATATGCTTGACAGCAGCGAAAGCTTTAGGAAATTCATTTGGATAGAATAACGCAACTTACATAGAACATACTGTTAAAGGTAATCACGTAACACGAAAGCCCATTTACTGCTTTTGTTGAGACTGAAAACGACATGTTAATTTTGAACTACGTCTCTTCTGTGTACAAGTGCAGGGGTTCTTATGTAATTATGTAATTTAAAAGAAACCAGTAGTGCCGACCACTACCACACGTTGTATAAAACATTTAGTGTGTGTTGCCTAACGCCACACAGCTGTATTCAGGTAGGGTTATCATGTTATGTGGTCATTGTGTTTGAATATATGTAGATGCAGTTAATATGTTTCCTGTTGCGTTAAACAACAAACAAACAAAAAATCCTGGAGGCAACGCAATAGTTATATCCTGGACATGATAGGTTCCAGGTATTGTGGTTGCTGTCTATCATAAGTATGGACTGACTATGCTGCTAAACCGAATTTTCCCAGATACATTTTGCAGACACAAATAATATCCACTGGAAGTCCAATAGAGCTAGTACATTGATTATTGAAACTAATTAAACCGATTATCCACATACTTTATCTGATATGTCAATGTTCGGATAGTCCATATCCTCAGGTCTCCAAGCACGGACTAAGGCAAAATCTAAATTTGCTATGAATCAAACGATGTATAGTAATTTTTAATGCTCACTTTGAGTTAATATAATCATCTAAATCCGGACATGAACAGATTGATTACAAGTATATGACATCCCGGAGAGCCGATGGTCGGTGGTTCGATCCTCGACCCCGCTTTACCAAAAGACGCTCAAAAAGGTTACCGTACCTTTTCTCACCCTGACTGATTGGCTAGGAAACACACACACACACACACACGCACGCACGCACGCACGCACGCACGCACGCACGCACGCACGCACGCACGCACGCACGCACGCACGCACGCACGCACGCACGCACGCACGCACGCACGCACACACACACACACACACACACACACACACACACACACGCACGCACACACACACACACGACGTTGACTTGGTGGGAGGTAGTAAAGTAACGCATAACATTTGTACTGTTGTTCTGTTTTCGTTTTAGGATATGAAGAAAACACTGGTGGATAGAACTTGCCAATGTCGGTATTGTGTTAACTTATGTATATAAATGATAAATACTTTTTGTTCAAGCTAAAAAAAAGACCTATTTCAATTTTCCAAGATTGCTTGTAACATTATCCTATGGTAATCTGATATCAAATATTTAACTTAACCAATGCATTGCTCTTTCTTCTGTGCTTTTTCTCATTTGCACTTCTTGAGCACGTCGTCTAAGGATGAGGTAAGTATAAGCGAATTACTGGAACTAACATGCTTTTTGTGGTAAGTATTTACGCTTTGTGTGAATCGGGAGTGAGGTGTGCAAGGGGATGAATGTGTCATGATGTCCGGACTTGTCATCAAAACTGTAGGGTAAACGTTACAAATATATGAAGCAATTCACTTAGTGGAGCTGGCAAATGAAAGGACTTGCCTTATGACTTTTACTAAAACAGATCGGGGTGCTTTATCGTTATTTATCATCGACTAATATGCAATATAAAAGTCATAAGGAATATCCTTTCACACCCACGCCTGATATTGTAGTGAACTATTTACATTTAGCAACAACCACTCCAACGCCACCAACGTGTGGCCCCATGACAGATGCCTCTCTGGACGAGGACTGCTCCAACGCGCGATGTGTGGCCGTCAACAGCTCGTGTGTGACGACGTCAGCGGGAAGCCGCAGATGTGCCTGTGTTAACAAGAACGTGCAGATATCAGCTACAGAATGCTCATTGGGTAAATATGAGTTAAAGTGTACATAATAATTGTAAGAATGGAATAAGGAATACGTTTACTACCCTGGTAACGATGCATAGTACTGTCAACAATCTTCATTCAAGTCTCCGTGTTTCAGGACCAAGTGTTCTGTCAAGTACACCAAACTACGTCTTCTCCACAAATCAATCTAGAACGTCAGTAACTGGTGAGTTGCCCTTCGAAGCAATCCTCGTGTTTGACCGACAACTTAAAAAAATGCAATTCTTACGTTATCGTTGTGGTCCATTCGTTATTAAAAGAGTTTTATCGAATGATATTATTATATTTGTTTCAGTGGGAACAATCATTTTTGATGGGCTTAGTACATTCCCCACAAATAACTTCTCCATAGAAGGCGAAGTATATCCTGATGAGAGGATCCTGGACCTAAGGAGAAACTCGAGCAACATTGATGTGGCACTGGTCAAGGAAATAAGCAATGCTAAAACATTTGTGGTGGCGTTACGTGCAACTTCCGGTGAGTTCACTGTGCAGCAGGTTGTGACCGTCAGGATCACATCCTCCTCTTTCACACCAGAAAACGTCACAGTTATGTTGGTGGAGGGAACCAGGAAAGGCACGCTGATAGCTGACGTGAGGACTATTGGTAGTTTGGGAGGGTACAGCAACTTCGAAATGGAGACCACAGATCAGACAGCAAGGGCCCTGTTCAATGTGACCACATCGGGGCAGGTTCTTTGTGGACAAGATATATTTTTGAGTGACTTTACCAATAACGACACAGTAGCTAAAGAATATATATTCAGTATCAAAGCGAAAAAGGGAGGACAGAGAGAAACAACTGCAACCTTTTACATCTTGTTATTCAAGAGTACTTTTACAACAACGTTAAGAGAAAATTGGAAAGGCAATATCTTGAGCTATACTATAACAAGCTCTAAGTTCCAGGTCGCTATTAATGACACGCTCCCAGATAGACTAAAATTCTCAAAGGACTTGATGATAATTAGTTTGGTAGAAGAAATTGACTACGATGCTGGTATCACAAGTATACATTTTAAACTTGATCTTGTCACGACGACCAAGTCAACTACAGTAGATGTCCACATAAACATTGAAGACCAAAATGACGAAAGCCCCAAATTTAAAAAAGCAGTTTACGTATTTTCGCTGCTTGCTGGATCTAAGGGGAATAGTGTAGTCGGCGTTGTTGATGTTACTGATGGAGATACAGTTGGGCAGACAACATTTAGTCTGGAAGGCAGAAATAAAGACGACTTCAGCATAAACGACGATGGTGTTTTGACATCAAAAGTGGATTTAACAAGAGGCCGTTTCCCTTCCGAGATCCCCCTCCGGGTCAAGGCTTATGATGGCGTATCTTACTCTGAGGAAGCCAACATCACTGTCTATCTCATCTCCTACACCATTAATGCAGTCAACCTCAACAAGACATTCCATGGCAGAGTCAGTGAAAACAGTACCGGAGCATTTGTGGCCAATGTAGCAGTGTCAAACTATACCGGCTACAAATTTCCAAATCCTCAGGCTGACAGATTCTTCAGCCTAAATTCTACGTCTGTAAGTACCACGGCATGCACCAGTGTTGTCCTCCAATCTTGTCCACTAAAATATATGCATGATTAAATATTTGTTACTTTATTCTTGTATGTGGCTTCAAGTATAATCGACAGAATTATTACCCTTGTAATATCCGTATAGCTGAGTCAGTGTTTAAAATACATATTAAAATAATCTCTCTCTAATCTATCAAGGGGAACGTCACAACAACTATTGGCCTAGACCGAGAGAACGACGACCAGGCGTATACTGCATTCACCATTCAGGCTTACCTGGATAGTGGCGACCAGTGCTCCCCTGTGGTGAGTAGCAGTAATAGTAAGCTGAATGTATGTGTGTATTAGGATTTACAACAACGACCGGCCGCGGTACATACTATCTGAAAGATATGTGTTTAGTGTTCGGTTACATGCATATTTCATAACTATATATCTTAACAGTCATGACCCATACTTATGTTTGTAGATATGTTTGGTGAAAGTTCATAATTAATGAACTGATTTCGGACGCTCAAATGAAAAGTAGTTAAAAAAGATTAAACTGAAGACATTTCTCCTTGAAATTAACCTTTACTTAAAGAATAAGTATATTATTTCACATTCTATCCCACAGACGATTGGTCAACTCATTACGAATATAACAGACGTGAACGACAATGCGCCAGAATTCTCTAGTCCTTCTTATACAGGAAGAGTAAAAGAAAACTCCATTCCAGGAACCCTGGTTGTTGGTTTGGTGAGTGTGATAATCGTGATTTTGATTTAACAGAGAGAGAGAGAGAGAGTTGTTTATAAACATACAAATATACACATATAACTTAGATATGTAAACATATAGATAACACTGAAAGGCATTCATTCGGCCAGATTGGAAATTAGCTTGCAGCAGTGGTGTATTGCTAAGTCATGTATAATGTGATGACCTTAAGAACCTTAATCAAACATCTAATGAAGTTCATATTCTATTGAGCAGGTGGACATAGCTGTTACCGACGAAGACGCTGGAGTGAATGGTTCTGTAAACTTCGCTTTAACGGGACCTGGGAAGACCTATTTTGCTGTTGAGAAATTGAATCACAACCAATTCACAATAAAAACCAGCGGAACCCCGATTGATAGAGAATTCGAAGTAACTCCATACGTAGTCCTGACATTAACTGGAACAGACAATCCATCTAATCCTAACACAGGCACCACTGCACTCAACATCACAATCATGGATGTCAACGACAATGCACCACAGTTCAACGGCGGGTCGACCGTATTTTGGGTGGAAGAAAACGTTGGACCAAAGACTATCACAACGTTAACAGCCACAGACAGGGATGAAGGCCTCAATGCAAAGGTATCATACTCATTGAAAGATGGGGGATTTGGTTTCTTCCAAGTTAACGAAAGCACTGGCGAAGTATCGACAATCAAGGCAATAGACAGAGAAAAAAGGAAAGTCTTCAACCTGATCATCGAAGCAAAGGACCAAGGGTCGCCTTCTCTAGAATCAGAGTTGAATATTACCGTCAATATTCGTGATGTAAACGATGAAAAGCCTACATTTACGGAGAAATACTACAAGGGTTCTTATACGGAAAATAGTCCATGTGACAGAAGCATCCTAACAGTGTCGGCAACAGACCACGACGAAGGAATCAATGCCAGCATCACGTTCTCAACAACAAGTTCTAACTTTACAGTCAATAACACCACTGGCGCAATTGGATGTGCGATTCCTCTTGACTATGAAGAAATGCAGCAACATCTGATAGAAATAAAAGCAGAGAACCCAGGGTTTCCCACAATGAGCGACACAGTAAAAGTTGAGATAAACGTTGAAGACGAAAATGACAACAGTCCACGTTTTGATAAACCCAACTATCAGTCTGAGATAACAACTTGGGAGTGGGTAACCAACAACCCTGTTGATGTTTTTGAAGTCACGGACGATGACTCTGGAACGAATGGCCTTATTATACTCTCCATGAGTGGGGAGACGGACAAATTCTACATTGATGGAGACACTGTAGGTGTGTTACGCATCAAAGAGGGCGCAAGTCAACCCGTTGCTTCCACAACATATAACTTTGATGTTACAGCCACAGATAAAGGTTCTCCATCGCTAAGTGTCACAGTCCCAGTATCAGTTGATGTGAAGAAAATACAAGGCAATAGTACTGTACGGTTCAGTTCTAAAGACTATACGTTTTCAATTGTGGAGAACCGATTATATACCACATCTTTCGGAAGAGCAAATGCTGCTCATGACGCCAACGTGTCAGTTCACTATACCTTAATCCATGGCGGGGATTTCCGTATTGATCCAAGTAGTGGAGCGTTGACTTGCAGTAAAGCACAGGATCGAGAGACAGTAGCAAATCATACCATGGTCGTTCGTGCCAGGGATATCACCACTAACGCCTCGGACGTGGCTGTTGTAAGTGCGGGTTTCTCCCATAGATCAATCTCGTATAGCTCGTATAGAACGAATTTCGAAAAATTGTCTCGCTCCAAACGATACTCTCTCTTTGGCGTCATGTAGGTTTCGACTTATTGCCCGATTCTCTATTTCTCTACAGTACAGGAAACTGCACTTGAATATAAACTTTTGAAGGAGGAATAGATGACATAGGGAACACACAACGAGACAGAGAAGTGATAAAGCAATGACAAGGACTTAAGAGTGAAAGTATTTGCATTTTTGCGGTTTTATTTTTTCCTCTGGTTTGGACATGTAATGGAGCTACATCTGAATCGTTTATATTTTTAAGGATTAACATGAAAACAGTATGTGAGCCGTTGTAACATTTTAAAGATTTGATGTGATTGTTTCAGGTAACAGTTCAAATTTTGGATGTAAATGACAATAGACCAATATTTCTGGCATCTTCTGGACAGCTCGTCTTTCAAGTTAAGGAAAATTCTACTGGCAAGGAGATCGGACGCATCATTGCCAAAGATGGGGATGCAGATGAAAATGGAACAATAACGTACAGCATTGTATCGCAGACACCTCGGACACGTAAGTTGTTAAATGTTAGTGATGACACTGCGTTTAAGGAAGGTGCAGATATTGATGCCAAACGTTGCTGTTTGTCTTAACATGAATATGCTAGTAATATCTTCAATTCAGTAAGTTGTGATTGTAATTGTGAACATAACTGGAGCAAGTAGTGCCTTGTGCAAATTAATTAGGATTGTTTCCCGGGGTTTCAAGTTTGTTAAACAATAATATATATATAGTTTACAAAACATATACCTATTATGCTCAGGGTTAGCATTTTCGGGTGTTATTATATATCTTGTCCTATTCATGTTCACTGTGTTTGTTGTACTTTTTCGTTTTACCTTTTTCAATTCAATGTTTCATTTCGTATTTACAGTATTGAATGTGTTGTACGGTTTGCAGATTTCTCGATAAATTCTCGAACCGGCACTGTTACTGTTTCGGGAGATCTAGACAGAGAAGATTATGATACATACAACTTAATCATCAAGGTAACACAAAAACTTAACACTAAACTGTGGCTTGACTACACATCGAAACACCAACGATTTCAAATCGTTGGTGATTTATTTAACAGTTTCTTGATTGATTTTATGGCGACTGAAATATGCATCTAACATTCCATGCTTAATTTCAAGGCGACAGACAATGGCGATGCTCCGAGAACTGCAACAACAAGTGCGACGATCCTTGTCCTGGATATCAACGACAATCCCCCGGAATTCCAAACAACGTATGCAGTGACAGTAAAGGAAGATAGTGCCATTTCCGCATCGGTATGTACATAAAGCAATAAGCATAGTTAACTAATGGATACACAACGGTTAGGATTGGGACATTGACACCAATCAATGTGTCCAGTTTTATATATCGAAGGTATCACGCGAGTGTGTTTGGGGATGGTAAATATCCCCGTTTATGGAATAAACATTGTATTTCAGAGCCTTTGCGCTAAATACATATTGTCTATTCATCATACAGAACATTTACGATCCCAAATCACACAAGCATCACAACCTCTTAATCGTGTAATATCATTCTTGAATTCTTTTGAAAAAGAATATTCTTTTCTCTTACAAATGGTACCTGAACGGAGCCAGGAATGTGTGTATTAATATATTATAAGGTCACAAACAAGGTCGGTGATAAGTCAGTTGGAAAACGACAGCAAGCAATATTGTTCCAATCGTGGCATAACTGTGGTATCAGTGGCGTCACGACGACACAGGCAAAAAGACAACTGGCAGCACAAAATTTCCAGGGTGAATTTTAAAACACAAAAATAATTTTGTCAGTCCAAGCCCTTCGTGGCAGTAAATCTGTTTGCCCGCTAGAGTAACTTCCCTTTGTCAAAAGGAGCTGCTCTTATCTTTTATATGTCACGTTTGTTTAGAATTTGTCTGGTTTGCTTAGTCATTACATTATCATGACGATAAGAAATGCTGTCAGATGTCCAAAACAGCGACAAAATGAAACAAAGTAAATGTTTGGCCATAATTCGGCCAATCCAACTGTTTCTAAATTCGGGAAAAAAAACCAAGCCGCAGAGGTCCACAAGCACAGCTTCGCAAATTGTATCTCTTAATGGTGCCTAAAATTTAAAAGACCCCAGCTACACCCCTGTGAAACATCTGTTAGTATCTTAGACTATTATTTTGATAATGATGACAAGTATTCGAACAATTTGTCCTGATTCCCGATAGTCATTATTTTGAATAGATTGCCGATCGACGCCGCGTTTGTTTGCAATCGCTGAAAGTGATACCCACCTGACCTTATGATTTGCATATTTATCCGTAAATGGATAACATTTATATCCATTGGGTTTATCCTTTCGAGAATCCTACACATTATATGATACATGAATTTATGACCAGTAATTAAAGAAGGAGTAAGTAGGGTTTGATGATTATTTCAGTTATATCATGGGGTATGCTGGATTGAAGAAAGCACTGAATAACGCGAACCACCTCATGAAACATCAGAGCGTGCAATTCGAGGGAGATAAGGCTGGGATCGATAAGAATCATGGTGGTTGTTCCAGAAGTGTTATCACTACCATACTCACACACTAACTCTTATCCATTGTATCTGATTTTATTTGCAGCATATCGTTTGACCAATAATGTTGCTTCTAATTTCAGGTGGAGACAGTGAGTGCAACTGACAGGGACTTGGCGCAGCATGGTGCAATTGTATATACTTCTAACACCGTAATGGTGAACGGAACTTTCTGTCCATTCCATGTGTCAGTGGGTAAGAATAGTCTGACGTATACTTTAAGCATTCTAAGTAAACGTGAAACACCTTGTAGTCAATAGCGTTCAGTTTAGCCATCTTGGTAGTGATTGTCACTGGTTCACCACAGTAAAACTACTACACAAAATGAAATGACCTTTGACAAGGGTAGTTGACTCTCTGTTTGTATGTGCACACATATCAAACACATCAAAAAGTGAATATACTTAAGGCAGCGATTCATTTTTCCTTTGTACAAATTATAATCCCATGTGATATAATCCCTATTCTTTAGAGACTGGAGTCGTGAAAGTGAGCGGCGACCTCGACTATGAGACGACTTCAACATATGAATGCATTGTGACTGCGGTGGACATGAAGGGATGCAGCAATTGCACAGGGCGTCTCACTGGATCGACAACGATGTCCGTCACCATCCTTGATTTCAATGACAACCCGCCGGTGTTTCAGGGGGCGCCGTACCGAGCCAACATATCAAGAGACGCTAACATCAACACTCTTGTCACTGACGTCATCACCGCAACTGACAGGGACGGCACCATGGATGGCAATGGAGTCGTTAAATACCATATGTTTTCAAGTATGTTGTGTACATGAAATATTAGAAATTATTTATTATTTAAATGCATTATGATTGTCAACATGCATGAATTGTATCATTGTTACACTTAGAAGGGGAGGTTACCTGACGTGATAGAAGGTATCTATAAATTGTCCAGTGTAATTGTCTTGATACTGCATGAATAGGATGATATATCAAAGCCCAGTGAATAGGGATGCTGAGTGGAAACAATTTTGAAAAGGAAAACAATTTTCTGAACAAACCTTATACAATATTTAGGGAATGGAAGTTTCTGTTGATTCACGTCTTTTCACCTTTCGAAGCACAATATAGACCTGATCAATCAGTATGTCGAATTTCACGACCATGCAAGTGATAATATCTCTCCATGTTTTCTAGACATCAACTACTTCAGGATTGATCGCGATTCAGGAAGAATATTCGTGGCTTCAACGCTAGACAAAGTGAATGATGATGAGGTCACTCTGAGGATCAAAGCGACAGATCTACCCCAAAAAGACCCTGCTATGGAAGCAATCACAAACGTAATGTAGCTGTTATATATACTGTAGTATTAAGATCATACCAAAAAACGGTTGTCCATGATGTTCCTTCAGTCCATCGGGACGTGTCTGATATAAGGGGCAACCGAAAGACACACAAGGGCAATTGTTCCCAGCTTCTCGCATTTAAACCAAACGCATTATAATTGTCAAATTACCAATTGGTTGGATTTGCGTTTTGCCATGGTACTAGTATTTATATATTGTAACGGGTTTCCTGCCAACAGATTACTATTTCCATCCTGACTGATCAGCCGCGACCATTCTTCAATAAAACATACACCTTCCTGCTGACGGAGAATGAGAAGCCTGATGAGGATAAACCGGTGTCCATTAGAGCCTATGCGCGAAGGTCGAGTGAAGAAGCGTGTAACTGCACCTATGATTTAATAGGTACACCCTGCTTAGTTCATGTGTGCAAATGTCTTCAAAGTTTACATGCTGTTATTCTTAAGATCCTCGCTTCTGGACATTTTCTAGTGTTCTTATAATGTTCATCAGTTTATAGGCTTTAAATTGAATTCATACAAATCAATGGAAAGACATCAATCCTCTTTCATAATGGCAATAGGTTTTAGATTTTAATTATGTACTAACGGATATTTTCAGATAATTCGAGCTTTTACATAGACAGTATGACTGGAGACCTAAGGCAAAAGGACCCAATAGACCGCGAAAAAACAGGCAGTCGCTTTTATCTAAGAGTGAAGGCGACAGACCGACGCAGCCTTCTTTATAGGACAACAGATGTTGAAGTGAACGTTACAGATGTTAACGACAACTTACCCTACTTCAACAACACCCAGCAGAACTTCATAGTAAATCAGGTATGTATTTATTGGGTAAAAAGCCAACAGGACTGATTCACTTCATGCCCATCATTATGATCAGTATAATATTTGTTTCCTGCTGTAATATATAGTTAAAACGGACGTGAAACCATACTCATTCAATATCTAATATATAATTCCAAATTAATATAATAGGAGCATTGTTATTATCATTATTATTATGATTATTTTTATGATCAGTAGTAGTAGAAATAGTAGTAGTTGTCGTGATAGTAGTACTAGGAGTAGAAGTAGTAGTAGTTGTTATAGTAGCAATAGTAGTAGTATTAGTAGTATACGTAGTGGGGTCGTAACTATACATATTTGTACTCAGTCGCTCAACTGGTATGTCATCGTCCAAGAATGATATATCACTGGGTAAGGAAATAACATATAAATAAAGGACTGAATCAGTCTCTGCCGGAACATATTATTATATGTCCTATCTATGTCCTATAGAGAAGCCATTTAACGCCACCGTACAATTGGATGAGAGATACCCTGCAAAGTTATGTCAATTGAACTCTTTTTACTTTTTACACTTTTTTCTGCTGCTTCGTTTGTCTATAATGAGTATATTAGCAACTGGGGTAAATGTTATCGTAAGTAAATACTAGAATAAACAATTCAAGCATTAAACGTTAAGGAATATGAAAGTATGTTTAAATATTCACATTTCAGAGTGCTCCAGCTGGGCATGTGATCGGGAGAGTGATGTCGGTAGACGCTGATGAACTCAGTCACCCCAAATTCACAAACCTTACTCATGTTGAGGGAATCGAATTGCTGCGTAATGGAACT